AAGGGAGTAATATCAGCCGAGCTTACCAAGCACCAAAATACAGCATATTCTTGGCACCACTGACTGGGGATGGCAACGGAGTTGGAGTTGGCGTCGGAGTCGTGCTAGGCTTGCTAGAGACGGGTGGTGTTATGATCCGGTTCGGACTAGGCGATGGAACTGTGGAAGTTATGAATCCAGATCTGACACCACTTGGAGCATAACCAGGCGGCGTCTGAGGCCCAGGAGAGTAGCCAGGTGTGCCAGGAGTTGCTCGAGCCGTAGAAGTAGAAAATATCACTCCAGGGCGAACGGAGTTCTGAGAGGAGGTTTGGCCCGGAGGAGGAGAGTAGTAGTCATGATCGGGTAGGTCATAACTGGATGAATCACAAGGACAAGGGAGTTTTTGTGCCGATTTAGGGGGGATTGGGACTGCGCTACGGGCATGCTGCGTGATAGTAGTGACAGAAGTGATGACAGTGGTGACTGTTCCATCTGCGCAGCCTCTTGGAAGTGAGTCGGCCTGTTCTGCCAGGGCAATTGGCGCGAGAAGCGCGAGAAACAAAGAAGCCGTGAGCATAGTAGCCAGGCTTCGAAACTACCACGATGCTGACTCTTGGGAAATAACGAGTGAAAGGAGAATCCAAGTTAACCAAACGAATGTAGGAGGCAAGCCTTGTGAGGTGGAGGGTATGGGGATTCTTCTGGAAGCGAAGGAGGTAGGTCTAATGGAAGACAATTGAACACCTAGGCACCAGAAGAGATATCACTGAACAATAGCGAAAGTGAGAAGCAGACACGGTTCTTGAATACTTTTTATTCCTAGCCTGAGTTCAGTGTGAAGAGAGACTGATAGTAGACATGGACATATTTTTGGTGGGACGTCTCACCAAGACAGATGGAATGGCCGCTCTCTGGAATGGGCAGCCACCCATTTGCACTGCAACGGTCATCGGTTGTTGACAGCTGGTGTCAGTCGGGCAGTGGAGACTCATGTCACTAACGGTCCTGGAGCATGCTCGACGGAGATCTCTCTCAAGAAGAATTGCACAAAGCATGCAGCGGATGGGAAAGACCTTTGGTCACAGCAATCAACCTGGAAGACCATATCGCGGCCCGTGAGACGTCCCCGTCGCCTTACTGTGACGCGAGGACTAAGACAAGAAGGTCAATATCCAACAATGGACAAGAAACCACAATTTGCTTGTTAGTTGTTTGCGTGGACGGCTGAAGTTGCCGACAACATATCTGGAGACGGTAAGTTTGCCGTCCGGGTGGCTGGCTTCTGAAGATCGGATCAGAGGGCAGGACCACCCGCCCGAATCCCATCATTCCGATCCTCGACTGGTTTTCAATAGGCGATAGCCCATTGTTTCCATATGCTATACATTGCAGTGCCTCCTAGGGGCAAAGTCAGTGATCGACAATAGTCCCGTTGTATGTCTGGCATCCATTGCTTATGGAAGTGCAACATCAAAATCCAGGAACGAAAGGGGGCTGAGGCAGTGCGGGCCACCTTTTCAGGGAGCCCCAATATTGCTGCTTCTGCTTCCCTTTCCTCCACCCACCCCATCCTCCAGAGCCAGGGCAATGAGGCGAAGCTGTACGGATTCGGTCGGCTGCAGGGCCCGGACCCTTCTGTTGGCACCTCGTCTCCATCTCGACAAATGCAATGACATAGTGGCCTCGGTTCCTGTGACTTGCGAGTCTGCACAGGGAGGGACTTTGGTGGTGATTAAATGAGGCACATTCTTCGTTGGGGCGGAGTCAGTCAAGGGAGCTCCAAGCCCACTTGCTGGTGGAAGTTGGATGGCAGAAGTACGAGCCAGCAAGAGGCGAGTGGAATTAAGCTTAAAGTTAGTGTGTACTGGATACTTTCAAAGACATGTATGAATCACATAGAAAGCCGTATACGATACATCCCAGCCATGCATGTCCTAAGGCGCGTCTAGGTTAGGCAGGTGCGTGCACATCCCAGCCCTCACGTGACATTGGGCTGAGATCGCTTCGAGGCGATGTGGGAGACATCACCCGGTCATCCAGCGCCCATCTCCCGGGGGCCGTTACATATCTGGCCACGGCCGCCTCTGATCCTGGGGTATGGCACCGAGAATGGTAGCCCATCTTCCTCGCCGTCGGCCGAGTGCCGTCGTATCCGACGCAAAGCCACAATCCGGAGCGTCACATGTCCGTCAGCAGCATGGATTCCGGGAATATGCCCCCACACCAGGCCGGGGATTGCAGTCAATGAAGCAATGTGAATGGATGGATCTGCAAGTGTTCGGGCGAGAACCCCCGTATGAATAATATTGAAACTTCAGCTGGGCGAGCCCAATCTCTTGGCGTTGAACCCGCCAATCTTGGAGCGGCTTCTAGGCTGAGTATAAATTGACCAAATGTTCCCTTAGAGAGTGAGCGCTTTTGATCTTAGGTATCGTCTTTGAATCGACAATTTCCTTTGCTTCGTCTCTTCGAGCTCAACGTCCCCGTCCATCCAACCTAAAATCATGCGCACAAGCATGGAGCACCGTCATGTCTTCCAATGCGTCCATCCGTTCTAATGTCTCCAACAAGACTGCCCAGCCGATTCGTTACGGCTCCGATCTTTTCAATTATGACCAGCGGTCCTGCGCTAGCCAGATTCTTCTCACTGGTGCAAATGCGCGTTCCCAGGTCGAATATGATGAATATGTTGTCTATCGGAAGATAGATGATTCATCTCATGATGCAGCGTCAGGTAAATACAAATGGCCGCAACAGGGTGATAATCATATAGCCCACCGGTACAGTAGGGACCATACCTCTGGAGCCGCCATGTTGGACCTTGCCTTCAGGCATGGCCATAGGCTGGATCGTAACGTACGTTTTATACCAGTTTCTTTTCATTTAAACAAGCAGTAATTCCCATCGACTTCGTTCCTGATATCAAGCTAACATCCGAGAAGGGCAATTTCACAGCAGCCGATGATGAGAATGATCCCCAGGATGAATCTGTGGGGGGCATGCTTGGCCGTGTTCGCAGAGTGTAAGCAGTCTTACCTCCTTCTCTGCTATTGACGTAGCATGTTAACTCATACCTCGCAGAATCTGCTTTCGCCGCAGCTCCAGATTGACTGGCGCACCAGATCAACTCAGTATGACTGCTGAAGATCTCGCTGATCTTGATCTCCATCCGGCGACTTTGCAATACGCCACTCGAGTTGCAACGGAGTCCCGATTTTGGTCGAGAGACCGATCGGTGCTGAGTGAGTGCTGGACCAAAGCAAAACAAGTCACAATCTCAAGGGCTAATGAACCATCAACTAGGCCTCATTCTGTCTTTCTCGGAGACGCCACAAACCCCATGCGACTTTCTTTCAATGACATACAATGTCGACACCCAGTCAACGACAATATTGATTAGACAGTCGTGGGAACCCCGTAGACACAGATTAGATGAGCTAGATGATGAATATGACCATCGTCTCGAGTCGTGCCGAGATCACTGGGCACACCCTCTCGTCATGCCCGTCATTCTGTTGCAAGTCGATTTCGTGCGCTGCGAGGAAGCTGTCGCCGAGAATACCTTGGACGTCATTCACCTGGAGCAATTGGTCATCGGTGCCCACGGGTCTGGCTCAGGCTTGGAAAAACTGTCAAGGCGGCACTCCAACCTGAGTAGAGATGACAATAAGATTGATCACTACGGTCCTATGAACATGGCAAGTCTCATGAGGAGAGCTCACGAAGTCCTCAGAGGTACCATCAAGCTGCTTGATACAATTCGCTGGATGGAGCGGGCTGTCAAAATTCTGATGCTCTCCGGTGATGAGCTTTCTGACCGAGTTTCAGCGTTTGGTTATGCCTCATCCGTCAAGGACTTGAACATGGGCGGTGACAGGTTCGGGAACTTTGAGAGGCAGCCCTCGCCTCTGCCGACCCTTCAAGTTCCTGGCCTGGAGCCCATATCCCCTGGTATTGCCACCCCCTTCACTTCCGATAGTGCTGGCGAGCTCAGCATCCATTGGCATGAGCTTAGGCAGTACCTGGAGGGTCTGCTCCGCCTGTCGATGAGTTTGGAGACAGAACGCCGCATGGCTGAAGCCAGATGCCGCGCCCAGATCGATATCGTGAGTATTATATAACGTGAAGAAGACAGTATGAAGATGAGGAAAAGTTGCTCACACCACGCAGATCTACAGTAGAATGGCCCAAGAGGACAACGCTTTGAATGCCCGGATGGCGGTAGCATCCACCAGGGACAGTGCCTCGATGAAAGCCCTGGCCGTCATCACAGCCATATTCCTCCCTGGAGAGTTCATCGGCACCCTGTTTGGCATGTCCATGTTCGATTGGCTGGCGCCCAGCAAGGACGATGACAAGACCGCCGCCGCCGCCAGCGCCCGTAATGAGCCAGAGTCGGATGAGATCCTGAGCCACCAGTTTTGGGTATACTGGACCATTGCCATCCCCCTCACCATGTTCATCATATGCGCCTGGCGAGCTTGGTGGGTCATCCAGGATCGATACTTCCGTCGGCACCTATCCAGGGAACTCAGCGAGGAACGCTTCTGGACCGAGGATGGAAAGCCCAGGAACCTGGAGCGTAGTTTTATCCATGACTTCTTCTATCTTTCCGCACGGCGTGATGAGAAGGCCTCGGCCCCTAGAGGCGTGGAAGGTTGGCCAGCCTTGATGCCAGACAAGGACGGGATGGAAGGACTGACCCGGGTTCAGACCAGAGCTTCTGAAACAAGACATCGCCAGATCCTTACCACAAGACAGACCAGCATCAAGCTAACTTCCAATGCCGCTTGAAAAATGGACGGCAAGAACAGTCGCAGCCCATCAATACTCTGATCTCTCTTGGTTGGCTTTCTCTCGGACTTTCCTGCGAGAACATCAGAAGATGCGGTTAATATTATGGCTTGGGTAAACGCGTTATCGCTTATTGCACCAACAGGACCGTAAGTAATTAATTTAAATTGTATGTACCAATATATCACCTATTTGAAGTCAAGTAGAAAGCCCTCAATTATCCTTTAGCTCGGTGACGATGGTAAATCTACCCAAACGGTATCGCCCACTTGAATGACTGGATGTTGTGTTTCATTTGTTTCCGTTCGCCCTTTTGAATTCAATGCCATGTGTGATCCAAAGTAAACCTTTCCGCCGAACCTTCGTGTTTTAGACAATGTCGTAAAGGGTTCCTGTCGCTTCTCGCCAGTAGACTGGTCAACACAAACCATCTGGCACCGTTGACAAGCACCTAGAAGTTTGAAATTATGTTGCCCAATATGTAACGATCGCCACATATCTTCAGAAAATGGCGGATGATGTTCGCTTAAATTGGAAGAATGAACAACAATGTTGGCCCGGAAAACAGCGGCATCAATTGGGGGCTCTCCCTGATGCGTGATGTCTTGATTTAGTGCTTCAACACTGGACTCGTGGATCATCAGGATGGGGCTCTCATTAGACAGAAGGATCTTGCTATCCTCTGGCTGTTCAGAATCTGATTCTGGTGGAGATGGTATGTCGGGGAATGCTCCAGGAAGCCTGCAAGATTGCTTTTGCAGCTGATGTGACTGCATCCGTGCTTTTGAGGAGCGGCTGCTTGACCCTTGGCCTCCTGGCGGAAAACGAGAGAGAACACATGGCACATTTAATACCTCCGAGAAGAACCCATTGATCTCAGCGGAAATATACCTGTGTGCTGATATTTTATCCCCGCATACTCGTGATGCCATCTGGCGGTCGGCCTTGTCGAAGAGGGCAGGATTATTTGACAAGGGGACGGAAACTTGCTTTCTTGGAGTCCCTCTGTAATTAACTCGAAGAAAGCCAGTTTCAAAGTCCAATACTGGCCGGAGAAGAGCCATTTTCGGGTATCGTTTCTGGCTAAGAGCTTGGCCTGTCCCCGCGTGGACTAGACACCATTCACGATCCCAAGCAAGACCTTCGGATCGAATTTCCCAGGGCATATGGGCCGGGACGACAAACCCTCCACAGCTTTTTATCGGGTATACTGTAATCGTTTTGACAGACAGCGACGGCTGTTGCCCGAGAGAATCTACTTCTCTGGTCATCATTCCAGGCCCTTGAGCCTTGGCCTCCACGAAGAACTCCTGCACAAATGCCAGGAACTTCTCGACGTCTGACATTGTGCTCATGGCCCCTAGGCTGACCCTTATCACCCCGGTTGGTTTACCGCCCATGATATCGTTCTCTGACCCGCAGCGAAGCCCATTCGAGAAGTTTCTCTTCATCTCCCATGGTTCTAAATTCAATGCCGATGATATCCCTCCGGGGCTGCACATCGCTCCAGTGCGTAAATGAAATTTCCGAACAGCCGCTAGCTTTTCGAATTCGACAAGGCTGACCCATGCTCCAGCAGAGTTCTTGATATTGAATGATATGACAGGGCCCATATCAGGCGTAGATGGGAATATATCGGACTGTTGGCTCGGATAAATGATACAGACTGGGTTCCCGTTTCCATGTAACATATCTCGTAACCCGGAGCGTAGAGACAAGGACAGGTTTTCAGTATGTTCCTTAACTTGCATCATAGATCCAAATAATCTCTGATGAACTGTGAGTGCGATATCAAGTGCCAGGATATTGTGGAATGGAAGTGTGCCATCCTCCAGTCGGTCGTGTAAGGATTCGCTTTTTGGGACTTGCCACTCTTCCTTACTGCATAATACCAGATCTACAGTGCCACCTCCAAAGTATTTCCGGAAGTCAAAGATGTTTTCAGCTTCACGCCGTACAATCAAAGCTCCCAAGTCAGGGAAGCCGAATATCTTGTAGAGGCTCAGCACAGTGAAGTCCGGTGCTATATCTGGATTGCTTAGGTCCAAAGGCGATGTGGCAACAAAAGATGCCGCATCGAGTAGAGTGAACACGAGTGCATTGGAGGAAACACGACCTACGTCCCTTATAGACTTAGACCATGACAAGGGATACCTGCGGCCATCCAGGTGTGATTGGGCTGTGTAGGCAACCAAAGTTGGGGATTCGGGGTTCGAAAAGGCTGCCAAATGTGTGCCATCTTGTGTCCAAGAACCGAGCGCTGCATCATCAAGGCAGGTACTCTTGATCGCTTCTCCACGGATTCCTACAAGACTTGTGTGGCAAGCTTGATGGTAGGCATAATGGAAGCCTCGGGGCTGGGTACGAAACCCTTCAGTAACCAGCCTAACACCAGCAGTGGCATTGGCCACAAAGATGAGATCAAAGTCACAGGGATCAGCATGGAAGAAGCTCAGCAGCCGCAGACGGATATTTTCAATCCGTGAGGTAGAACTCTGGGAGGGCACCGAGGCCGAATGTGGATTTCCAAAAAGAGTAGAAGTCATCTCAGCAGCAAATTGGTCCATGAGACTTTTGGAGTAAAGCGCGGCACCAGCATGGTCGAGATACGTGGCATCTGTGTAGTATGCTTGTCAGTGATTTGAGTAGGAATGAGGATGCACGCGAAAACAACCTTGAAGCATGGGATACTCCCGCTGCCGCATATTTGCAACAGCTTCATTATAAGAGGAGACATTGGACATGTCAGCTGGCAGTGCCGACTCCATTATCCACTAGGATTATGAGGAAGCGGATCGGGTCCCAAACAAGAGGCAGTCAGATGGAAATGGGTTTTAATAATCTGGCGTCGAGCCTGAATCTGGGGTAGATGCGAAGGGGTCCGGATGGTGGTCTTTCCTCATCGACACCGGCACCTGCTTATCCTTGGGTTTCATGGTCTCTCCAAGCCAAGGCTATCGCGAGGAAAGAAGGGGTTTGTTTGTATATGAAATAGAACCGAGACCGACAGGATGATAGATAAGTGTCTCCATCCAAGTGCTTCGTGCCCTTGTCCACGGATGTTGGGGTCATCGTCCCAAGTGGGGAGGCCATCGGAAATCGCCACCTTCCATTCCAGTGGCAGATGCAAACTTATTGGATTGGCTGGCTGCTGCTAGACGGAAAGAGCAGGTGGCACAGTGTTTCAATGGGCGTTGCGGCCGGTTGCGAAGGTCGGCTAGGCCTATATAGCACTAAGCTCCAGATGTCTGAGTGGCATTACAGTGCGAATTCGTGGGCCAGTGGACTTCCCCAGGCTGCACTGCAGCTTGTGTACGCCGTACCTTACCGCGTTTTCTCTAGCCCGGATTTCTGGGAGGTACTCTCAGGCGATGCTCTGCCGGGTAGGTACTTTGCTTGACAGTGGTGATCTCCATACCCCCTTGTGAGTTGGCCCTCCGCTGTCCAATGAAAGCATCGCCCTACTCACCTCGGCGCCTTAGGTTCACTGCCAGTGGTACGTCGGTTCTGTACCTTCTTCTGTTCCTGGCGGTCCCCGTCCCATCTCCCTGCCGAAAGCTTCACCTGCAAGCCTCACCACCTTCATCTTCAACGCGTTGTTTGTTTGACAGGCGCGCAATCACGAAATCGCGCAGTCAGCTCTCAATGAGCAGCGCTTATCATTAATGTTCGTTGCCCTCTCTCCATTTGATGTCTCTCTTTCGAGTGCCACGCTTCTTCTGCCTTATTCTTCTCTGCTCTGCTCTCCTCGTGGTCCCTACCTTCCTTCCTCGTCCCCGGATTGATTCTATGCCTCCCTTCCACACCTACACCCCAACCCCATCTAATTTGTCTTCTCTTTCTTCTACTATGGATTCTTTTCTTGATTTGTGGACATTTGGTTCCAGCAAGGGCTCGTCCTTGCTTCATATTTGTTCCTTTGTTCCCGTTCCTCCGCCCTCTCTTTCTCATCTCCTCCGCAAGAGAGACATTTCTCTAACATTCAATCAATTCGCGAAGCAGTAACCAGTCGCAATTCTATCCACGATAACGCTCAAGAGAGTATATACATCTACGACGAAAACGAGACGCGCAAACCCACCCGGCATCTCCATGGGCCTAGTCCACTAAGTTACGATGGACTCATACTCGTCATACAGAGAGGGAGGTGCGCGTTCTCCCAGCGAGAGGACTTGGGCGCGTGACGAATCAAGAGGCAGAGAGGACCGGGCCGAGAAGCCCTACCGCGCGAGGTCGCCAGGTATGGTTCATGATCCAAGAAATCAAGCTTTAAGCGCGTTATCAACTCGTTGTGCCAATTTTGTCGCTCACACTTTACGCACAGGTCAGGATCGCCGAGATCGACGCCGCTCTCGATCCCCCAGCAACATCGATCGCTACGAACCCAGATCGCGGAGAGATGACCGCGACGACCGCCGTCGCATTGGCTCACCCCCTGCGAATATTGATCGCTATGTTCCCGGTCAGGAAAATAGCGCTCCGACTCCGGTCCAAAATCCCCTAACCGATCCTGGCCGTCTTCCGTACCAAGTGGGATTCTCCTACTACAGCGAGTGGTGGAGAATGAACGAGAAGGTCAAAGAGGAAAAGGAAAGAGCCAGAACTGGACGTCGTCGCGAACCAGAGAGAGCCCGAGGTGCTCGGGAAGTTGCAGAGGAGCGTGAAAAAGAAAAGACAAGAATCCAGACTGCCTACAACACTTACAAGGAAGACCTCCAAGCAAAAATGGCACGCACCTTCGTCTCGGAACATAAAAAAGAGCAATGGTTCAGGGAGAAATACGTCCCGGAAGTGAGGGACGCCTTCCGATCCAAGCTCAATGAAGTTAGGCGCAGCGCTTACCATCAATGGGAGCAAGATCTGGAGTCGGGTACTTTTGACGAATTCTCCCTTGAAGGGATTCCCAAGGCCGACAGTAATGGAGCTGGCGGAGTTGCTGAGAGGGAGGAAGGCGAAACAACGGCTGCGAGCGAGATTCTCGGAGTCGGTGATCTCAATCCTGGCATTGGTGCCGACATTCGAGACGAGAATCAGTTTCAGCCAACTCTCTTGATCAAAACTATTGCCCCTCATGTTAGTCGAGAAAACCTGGAATCTTTCTGCAAGGAGCATCTTGGGGAAGAAGAGGGTGGCTTCAAATGGCTTTCTCTATCTGATCCCAATCCCAGCAAGCGATACCATCGTATCGGTTGGGTAATGCTCCACCCTGCTTCTGAGACTGCGATGGCTATAGATAGGCCTGATCCCAAGGATGTCGACGGCGACGAGCCACTCAGCTCGCCCAAGCCGGTCTCGACCGCTGAAAAGGCTCTAGAGGCTGTGAATGGCAAAACAGTCAAGGACGAGGTTCGAGGTGACTTTGTCTGTCATGTCGGTGTTCACACTCCTCCAGCCAGTCCTCGAAAGAAAGCGCTCTGGGACCTGTTCTCTGCACCTGAAAGGGTGGAAAGAGATCATGAGCTCGTACAGCGCTTGGTGAACTATTTTGAAGAAACCTTCGGTTCTGATTTCCAGGCGATCCTGAGAGTAGAGGAAAAGGTAGAGAATTTGAGAAGCGCAGGTCGCCTTCAGCCCCCGGCTCCTACGACCACAGCCTCCAAGTCGAAAAAGACTCGTGTGCTTGATGATGATGAAGACATGGACGCTGAAGTTGGCACTGTGCAAGAGGAGGACGAAGAGGAAGGCGCAATTGACGATGAAGAGGTAGACGATGAGGCTCTTCTCGTGAAGAAGAAAGAGCTCGATCTTTTGATCGAGTATCTGCGACGGGTATTCAACTTCTGCTTCTTTTGCGTGTTCGAAAGTGACTCAGTTCATGAGCTCACTCGAAAGTGTCCCGGCGGTCATCTCCGCCGTCCTCGCTCCACTCTATCATCTGCTGCTCGAGCCGTAGCAAGAGCTAGCGCCAGTGGAGAGCCTTTCCCTGAAAAGAAGAAAGGCGATAGCATGGAGGAAGGGGAAGATGGAGAGGTGGCAGACCTTGAGAATAAAAAGTTCCGGGGTTCTGCCAATAAAGGCGAACAGCAATTGCTCCGAGCCTTCAACTGGGTTAAGACTTTTGAAGACAAGCTTATGCAGATTCTTGACCCACAGGCTGTTGACATTCGGAAGCTTGGCGGACGCCCCATCGAAGAGGCTATTGATGAAGAGCTATTGAAACACGTTAAGCAAGAGGACGAACACAAATGGAGATGTAAGGTTCCTGAGTGTACGAAACTCTTCAAAGAGGAGCACTTCTGGAAGAAGCATGTGGAGAAGAGGCATTCAGACTGGCTCGAGGGTCTCAATCAGGAGGTAAGTTCAATGATGCACGCAGCCCGCTTGCAACGTATTTAATCACTAACTTTGGTGCAGTTCGAGCTTATAAATGCCTACATTTTGGATCCGGCGCATATTGCTCCATCGAGGACGGACGCGAACTCTAATGGACACTTCCCTCAACCGAATGGACAAACCGCCCCTGGCACTCCCAGAGGATTCAATCTCCAAAACTTCTCAATGAATGGCATGATGGTCCCAGGCTTTAACATGGCAGGCGGCAACTTCCCACCTTTGTTTTCCGGTATGCAGGCTGGATGGAACGCCATGGGAGATGACCGTTCAGGAGGACCTATCCGCAGGGGAGGCATGGGTGGTAATCGCGGCCAGTTCCGATCTGGACCATACGACCGCCGTGGTGGAAGATATGACGGTGGCAGAAATCGCACAGGCGGGTCACGCTGGGGTGATGGCGCAGGTGCAGCAGCAGGTGGACCAAGGGAGGCAGTTCAAGGTCGGAGCTTGAAAAGCTACGAGGATCTTGATCATGTCGCTGGTGGGGGCAGCGGTGAACTGAATTATTAAGTTCGACAGCCAATTGACGTTGGAGGCGACTTTGTGGTCCTTGCTCCAAGAGGGAATACTTCCATTCATCAGACGGTAATCTTCTATCTCCGACATTGTAAAAAGGGTAGAGGGACGTGCGATCTGAAGGCACGGGGACAATCTAACAATCCGCGACGCAGATGTCAATCCTATCAGGGTTCTAAATTAGAAGCCTATGTTTTGTTGTACAGAAAGATCGGGCGTCATATTTACATTCATAGTTTATGAATTTCAGCTAATACTCAAATTGATTTCGTTTTCTTTATTAGAACTGCAACTCACCCCAATAACATGAACGTATTCTAGTTTACAAGTACCCTTCCTTAGAGTTGAAAAATAATTGGAGCACATTTCAGATTATGCCCATTGTGTAGAGTGAGAATAAGAACCAGCCAATAGTGTGTCCCGATAAGAGCACTGTCAACCATGTCGTCTCCACACCCCGCCATTTCACCACGACTTGACTTTTTTTTTTGCGAGATCGAGTGTTATCCACTATCCACTCATTTCCCTTCGGCTTCATAACCCCGTTCGCTCAATTGTCAAGCGTTGCTTTGATTGTTTTCCGTTGAAGGATTTTTTTTCTAAAATCGAAAATCGAGAAAGAGACTTCCACCATGGGTCTCCTGGCAGAAGCTAAGACGTGAGAGGCTTCAGTCAAGCTACATTGCTTTCGTTGCTAACCCAATCCCGTTGCACAGTCGCCGGAGAATAAACCATGATCCGAACAACACCAAATGGACCCGCGACGAGACGACTTTCGGCCAGAAGATCCTACGGTCCCAGGGATGGCAGCCAGGCGAGTTTCTAGGCGCCAAAGACGCCCCTCACTCGGAGCTGCACACGGCGGCGAGCGCATCCTACATTAGAGTCTCTTTGAAAGATGATATGAAGGGCCTGGGATTCGACAAGGCTAAGGACAACGAGATCTCAGGGCTCGACGCATTCACAGATCTCCTGAGCAGGCTCAACGGCAAGTCCGCAGCCTCGGTGGAGGAGGATAAACAGGCCAGGATGGTGGTCAAACTGAACCGCTACGTTGAGCAGAAGTTTGGGCCCATGCGTTTCGTTCGGGGCGGTCTGCTGGTTGGAGACGAGCTTAAGGAGGAGGAGGAAACGAAGGAGTCTCCAGACGAGGCGGTATCAACCCCGGTAGAGCAGAAGGAGGATGCCGAGGTGCCGCAACAGAAATCCAAGAAGCGCAAGGCATCGTCGCAATCGGAAGAGGATGAAGAAACATCAGGCAAGGATTCCGAGTCCAAGTCGAAGAAGCGCCGGAAAGACGGGGAGAAGAAATCCAAGAAGAAGTCAAGTGATGAATCAGAAGCGAACGACAGCAGCGATGTTGCGAGGAAGGAGAAGAAGAAGTCCAAGAAGGACAAGTCAAGACAGCAGAGCGCTGCAACTTCAGCAGATGAGTCGGAGAGCACCGAGCGAGCCTCCAAGCGGAAGTCGAAGACTGACTCGTCTGCTGACGACGAGGAAGATGACCGGAAGGAATCCAAGCAAGCCAAGAAGGAGCGAAAGGAGGAAAAGAGGGCAAGAAAGGAGCTCAAGAAGCTGGAAAAGAAAGAAAAGAAAGAAGAGAAGAAGCGCAGGAAACTCGAAGGCTCTGGCCGAGAAAAATCATCTTCTGCTACGCCTTCAGGCTCTAGAGCCTCTACGCCACGAGGTAACGCACTCATGGTACGAAGCCGGTTCTTGGCAGCAAAGCGAGAGGCGATGCTCAACGATAATTCAATTAACAAGGTGAGAGAACACTGTATACTGGGCACGAATGTTCTGGTCTAAGCTAACTTCATTATTAGATCTTTATGGTGAAAGCATAGACGTTGTGTTTTCTTAGACTGTCGTGCTCGAAGAGTGATAGATTACTACCAAAACGGGGTTAGCACAATGGATGCATGATTTTGGAGTTCTAGCTGGTAATTACGGCGCTCAGCATAGTTGGTTCTATGTTTTCTCATTATTTTTATATTCAAGTAGGTAGATACCTATTCAAATCAAAATAGACAGTCAGTGCGCCTACAAGCGCTATCAATCCTCAGCCAGTCATTTGTGGTCGCGGTCGGGCGATGGGCATAAATGGAGTTGCATCAGGCAGCAAGTCGTCTCACCTAGACATCCATCTTGCATTACAGGCTTCAACCTGAGACGTGTATGACAAGCCGACGTACAGATGCTACTCGCCTGCTACCTCGATACCTACCTACCTAGAAATGGGCAAATTGCCAAGAATGGCAGGACTTAATCGGACCCAAAGCAGCCAACATGTCGCAGTCTCGGGGCATGCATCACCCTACTAACTGAATGAAAGAAGAAACAAAACATCAAATTGAAGAGCGGTCATAAGTAGGGCGGTTTTGCATTTACTAGGATAACAAAGCAATATAGGCCAATATAATATAATGACCATGTATAGTGCGTTGTCTATTGGGCAGTGATCATTGGCTCTCAATGAGGTAGGCCAGTCACCGACTCTGCATCAGAACAATGCTTCAGTGTAACGATTTCCCCGCAGCTTGCTAGCACCTATGTCTCCTGATCTCTCCCGCCGTAGAATGGTTTGCCTTGCAATTTAAACCTCGCAGAAGCCACTCTTTTTGTTGCCTCGAGTGCCGACGATATGTCCTGAGTAGAGCAAGCCACGCATGATCATGAGAATTACTATCAGGGATTACGACCTACCTTATAAATTATTCATTACTCAATACCTGATACCGCATATATTTCTACCAGGTCCTTCAAAGTCTCGCGGATTACAGTTCCGCCATCATGCGTTGATACCTGAGGTTTAAATATGTGGCAGCCGCTGGCGCCTGCCCGCCCGAAGGTATTAAAGCGCTGCCTCCCACTTCCTCACTTCTCACCTTCTTCTCTCTTCTTCATTATTCCACCCACACACCAAGTTACCTCAATTTCTCCCCTTCATCGCCGCTTCTTCAAATAGACCTGCCCAGCATGATTCCCACACCTTGATAAGGTCGAGAGAGCCTCAAGTTGCAACTTTGTGCTACTCTCGCTCTCAAATTGATTTTCCTACCAGCACTGAGAATGTCTGGAAGGGATCTCACTTATCTCTGAGCCACCATGCCCATAGGTATGTTCCCAATACTTTCGCTACCATCCCTTTTCGACTTCTAACCTTTCTCGAAGGCCCATCGAATATGTGATGGCCCAAGATAGCACAAGCATGACCCGGCCGTCGTAGGCGCTCTAACTCGTCGACCCAATTTGATTTTTTTTGTCCTGGGCAGGACATTAAAAGGCCCAACCTGTGCGGAGATTGTCATCTCTGTCACAATTATGAGGATGCACAGTGCGCATCCTCATACCCCTATTACCGGACTCGTTAGAGTTTGGTACTAAGTCATACCACGATTACCGGACTCGTCAGAGTTTGGTCTTGTGTTTCCATGTTCCCGTGGTAGTATTTCTTGGGGTTCATTCCGTTCTTCCATATCGAATTCTTGAGGTTTCGATTCCTCAGGACTCGAGATGGCCAAATGGCTCGCTTCCTGCAGCCATTTTTTTCTTCAGTCGATTCGGAACATCTGTCCTAGGTAGAACCAGATGTGGCCAAACCTAGCCTTTATCAAGCGGCAGCATAGGGAATCGCAGTGGGAAAAGGCATTGGGCTCGTCACATCCAAGAAGGGTTCGCAGGGTGGTAAAAGAATCGAGGCTTTCGACTCAATAGGCTCTTTCAGAACCTGAGTCCCACCAACCACCTGTATGCAATTTCCTTCCTTCTTTTTTCCCTTATTTCTAACTTTTCTGCAGGATTCCTTGGGGCGAGGCTTTTTGTTGCGACTCAATAGGCTCTTCCAGAACCTGAGTCACACAAACACACCAGTGTGTAATTTACTTCTTTCTCTCTTCTGTCATCTCTAACTTCTCTGCAGGTTTCTCTGAAGCTGGTACTATTCTCCGCAACCCTCCGGATGAGGCTTTCGTTTCGACTCGATAGGCTCTTCCAGAACCTGAGTCACACAAATCAGTATGTAATTTCCCTCTTTCTTTTCCCCTCATCTCTAACTTTTCTGCAGATACTCTCTGAGGCTGGTACTATTCTCCTCAACCCTCCGGGTGAGGCTTTTATGTCGACTCGACAGGCTCTCTTAGAACCTGGGTCCTAAAATTACCAGTATGTAACTTCCTTCTTGCTTTTGCCCCTCATCTCTAATTTTTCTGCAGGTTTCTTAAGGGAGCTGGTTCTATTCTCGTCAACCCTTCGGGTGACGGATCTATCATCAAGAAACGTCTGACAGGAACGACGTTTCTCCTGCAGTATTAATTTTGTCGGCTTGCGAGCAATGACGACGATATTGTACTCAGATGCTCGTACCATTGTGTATCGATATAGCCAAGAGGCAACGCCCACCAGTCAAGGATCAGCATGAACCGAGTCACAGGTTCCTTAGAGCGTCTTCGTCTCCGAGGCATTCCAGGTGGCACTGGTGGAAACTTCTAGATGAAAGTCTTTTCTGAAGGGGATAGGCGCGATAGTAAGTGTCTGACTAGGTTTAGTCAGGCAACTTTGCCCCGGAGCCAGCATCTCGGACTCGGCCGAGGAAGATGGTCATATACTCGATTACTATTTGTTCTCAGGAATAATAGTAATCAAGTATTTGAGATCTAGAAGGAAGTTGAACAGAGCAGAGCAGGTCGCGCCGCTCACCTTGCGAGTATATCGCAATATCAATGCTCGTCACCCGGCATATCACTTTCCGACAACGGTATTGAGCCACAATTTTATCTCTTCAACCAACTAAAGACAACACACATCATTCGCAAACGTTGATTACTGCGTGTTCTCAATATTTGCTGGTCTGTTTGAACAAATAGGCCTTGTATGTTGTGTTGACTGTCAACTTCGACTCTTCACCAAAAACGAAGGGAAAGAAAGGCGGAGCAAGAGATGAAAAGAGTGGAAACACTTTGACACATTTAAAAGAGGCAACTCTCAACCAAATCATTTGAAAGGTGCAAACCTCCCAACAACTGTCGCGAGCAAATCGGAGCACACTTTTTTGGCAAGGAGGAGCTGGAGATAAGTGAGACTGGGTATTTGAGCTTGATGCATCGATCAAGACATGTATTTACTCAATAACAACCTAGAATCGAATCTTGACCATTGTTCCCAATTCAGTGATCCCGGATATCTATGACTTCCGACTGCAATCTTAGCTATTCCCGATGATAGCTCTACAAACATGTCCCGAATGTAGCAGCACAAATTCAAATTTTGGATTTTTGGCAAATGATTTTACATTGTTTCTTAGGCTTAAAAAGATGTATGCCCTCACTCATGCGATCATCATCATGATCCCTTCCTCTGGTTGACGAGCTCTTCTACTCTCAGATAGTTGGGAAGGGCTCGGGTATGCGGTCTGTCCATCCAGATTGACGCAATTCGGGGACACGGCAGCGATTTCATTATTTAGCGTTACGTCCAAAGTTGCTGCACAAGGAAGTTAGTAGAACATTCTTGTAGCATGAAAACTCCATGATTGGGTTGGAGAGGCTTGGGGCTGGCAGAGAGGCAGTAACATACTTGTGGAAGAACTGCGAGAAGATTCCGCCTTTGGGTTGTTGATCCGACATGCTCTCACGACGGGTGACGTTCGCCTGTGAACCATGGTGCTGTTGAAGGCCTTCGAAGGCAGGCATCCAGCCAGAACTCTGTGACAGGAGAGTGTTAGCATTGGTATCGATACAATGTAATGCGGGGTCAAGAGTAGTATCTGGCAGAGAGAGAGGGGTGACAGACCCTGCGGCGAGCGCTGGTGGTGTTGTTCTTGTTCTCGACGGGAGGTGGTTGAGTCGCTTCAGCCATGATGAATTACTGGTTCAGGTAGATGAGGTTGAATTGGTTGTCTGTAGTTAGATTCTTAGGAGGAAATTGAGCTCTACATTCGTACGGATAGAAATTATGAAGTTCAGAGGGAGGGGGAAGAAGACCAGCTGACGAGCCGGCATATAAGTACGCCGTGAGCATGCATGGATGAGAAGCCATTGTGACAAGGTTTCGGCGAACTAGGGGAACGAGTACCAATGACGTTCATGGACGAGAGCTGACGGCGTCGTGCTCGATTGCCCGTTTGGCTCGCTGTGGGAGGTGGCGCGCGCTCGCCTGTTGGAAGAGGGGAAGCAGCGAGTGACGTGCACGGGTGAGCCGAGACCCTCGATGGAAGCAGCAGGTATGATGATGATCAATCGATGTATCATTCTTGGGGTCCCCTTCTACTTGCGGTGCTGCTTTAGCACGAACGCATGAATGACTCGGAAGCAACGGTCAAGCAGAAGTGGCATATCCCAGTCCATACGTCCAACTCGTGGGCGAGGTGACATGAGGCCTCAGACGATATGACCAATCCTACCATCACCATGCATTATTCCAGTTGATCGAACACTACGAAGCGATCATACGATGATGATATTTCACATCTGTATAAACCTGAAAGCAGCAGCGGAACCATACTGGTTCATGTCCCTCTTCGAACTGAGACATCGCCAGCCGCCGCCTAGAGACAACGTTTGACTATTCGCCTTAGCTCGCGCCGTTCACCACTCGGTCCCCTCACACGATGGAGAGCGGGGTTGTCGGCATCATACCCTGACGTGCCGATCGAGGCTACGTTCCTGACCATTACAGCTAGCAATGGAATGGAAATTGATACCCTGCGACCATCGAACCACTCGAACCCCAATCCAGGACAGCTCTGTCCAATGACGCTCGTGGGTGGCCCTTTGTTACCAATCACTATGCGACATCCCATTCAACAACCCGGCAAGATCCCGGCAGCATAGGTCAAAGCTACCCAATAGTACAATGAACGGTCCAACCAGCGTTCGGTGATTTGAATAGGATGGTGTAAGCGAGCATATCGAGTGTATCCACGGCTAGGTAGGGTGGTTGACTATCCTTCCACCTCACTCATTAACACAAGACTAGAATAGCCTCTGATTGATTTGCTAATATGTTTCAATTCTTCTCCCCTGCAGATCACTACTATTAAGCAGCCACTTATGGGGCGATTCTCGTTGTGAACACTCCGTCATACACGCTGCTGGTGGATCGGCCAATCCGCTCTCGTCCCCATGTGTAGACAATCTTTGGTACGATTCAGGTAATGATACTCGAGGACGCAATCATCAGGGTATCTAACTCTCGTGCTTCTTTTGTCTTCTCTATAGTCTCTTTTCTTATTTTGTTCTAGAAAGGTATCCGTCAGACAGATCAACCAAGCGCTGTCTCTACTCCTTCTCCAGCCGTACGGCAGGATTGCGCTTGATGAAACTCAAGTCTACCTTGTGGCCTAACAGCTCACGAATGTTGGAAATCTTGTACTTAATCATCGTGGGACGCTCTAAAGAGAGACCCCAACCGAACACGCGCATGTCCTTTGGCAGTCCCATGGGCTCCAGCATTTCTGGTCGGAACATACCACTGTTGCCAATTTCAACGAGCTTGCCCAGTCCCTCGTGGTAGCTGAAAATCTCCATACTGGGCTCAGTGTATGGGTTGTATGCTGGCTTGAACTTGAGATTTGTGATTCCCATCTTGGCGAAGAAAAGCTCCATGAACTCCATCAACCCTCCTAGCGTCAGTCCGTAGTCGGCGATAACACCTTCTACCTGGTGGAATTCTGCTAAGTGCGTAGCGTCCACAGTCTCGTTACGGAACACTCGATCAATTGAGAAGTATCGGGCTGGGGGTGGGCGGCCGTCTGGGCCCTTCTGTGCTGCCAACTTGTAGAGCATGGCTGTTGAGATCGACGTAGTGTGCGTTCGAAGGACCAGCTTCAGGGATTCATCGGCAGACCAAGGGTACTTGTAACCGATAGACCCGTACTTGCCATTTTGATGTACCTCCTTCACGTTCTGCCAGTACTCTTCGGGATCCTGTCCCTCTACTAATGCCTCGGGCTTGCCACCGACCTTGGGATCCGCAATGAAGAAGGTGTCTTGGAGATCACGGGCAGGATGCTGCTGGGGCACGAAAAGAGTATCGAAGTTCCAGAATCCGGTTTCGACGAATTTGTTGGTAGGCATTTCCTCGAATCCCATCTCGAAGAAAATCTGTCGGAACTCGTGGCGCACTTTGTTGAGAGGGTGCAGGGAGCCAGCGTCCTGGTCTGCCCCCAAAGCGTTGAAGTTGTAGGGCTTGAAGTTGGCAGTCTTCCATGCACCAGAGGCGAGCATATCCGAGGTGAGGTCGGTTTCCTCCTTGACCATCTCCAACGCAAACTTCTCGCCCTTCTCCAGCTTGAAGTTCAAGACCTTCTGCACCTTGATCAGCTTGCGCTTCTTGAGATCAGTAACCGCCCTGGCGTCGGCGGATTTTCCCTCCTTCAGCTGCTGCAGTAAAGTTTGTGTGGTATCCTTAATCGAGTCGACCTAGAATAAGAGTAGAGGTCCGAGTCAGTCGAGAGCATTCTCAGTGAGGTGAGGCAGTGGTGCGCATACTGTAGCAACCAGCTTTCCGTCCTTGCCCTTTCCAATCCACTTCTCCTTGAAGGCCTTTCCCCTGCCAACGTTGGCCACAGTCTTGTCACCAATGGTCGTCTCCAATTCCTGGATCGTCAACCCCTCCAACGCCTGGCGCACCACCTCGAAAACCCGAGCTTCATGGCTACCCTGGGCAGCAATCTGCTCTGCCTCTGGCTCTAAAATGATTTCCTCCTTGTCGATAGTCTGGTATGTGATCATGGATCGCGAGGCGAGACGGTCGAGTGCTGCCTTGATTTCGAGCGCTGGGACGGCGGGGAAGGCTTCAGAGGATATGAGGGGGCTTTGGATCGACAGGGCCTGAAGCAGTTGGGTTGGGAGATCTCCCGACGAAGGAGTATTTTGGGTTGCCATCTTCCCGGCAGTATAAAGGGAGGTCGAGGTACGCCACCAGATATCTTGCGTGGATGTGGCCTTTTTTTTTCTGGCGCGGGATGATTGAGTCACGATAGAGAAGCCCGAATATCGCTGGCGTCCGCGGGGTGAAATTTACTGGTGGAGGCGCACCACTACGCCTACAGCTACAGCCCACCGTACCTGCTGCCGTTGGAGGGGCAGACTCCTATCCGGATTTAGGGTTGGTCCGATAAGCACTATCTCAGAGCAAGTGGTGGCATTCGAATGCACGGCGTAGATTCCAACACAATGTCAAGAACAGCTGATTGAAAGAAAAGCATACATAGAGATAAGAAATAACCATGTTTCCTCTTCTTGTGGTCATTCTCGTTGATTCTAGGATTATTTAAACAAGCCAAGCTGAGTGCAGTGTTCTCGTGGGCCACTTTCATGGCAGCTACTTGTCAAGGGGTACTTCTTAACGGCAATGTTGGTCCATAGGTACCTAGGTAGCTTACTGCGATGTACAAATAGAGATCTTTAATTCAAGAGGTAAATTGTGAAATGAAATCAGCAGTTCGTATATTTCATCTTTACCAGCTGGTTAATGTTGCTCAAGCTACCTCGTATGAGTCGTGCCTTCCATGGCAAAGTACCCTCAGGCACCGTCGCTCATACTTATGCACTGCCGCTTTTAGAACCAGCACCCCCAGGGTGATATGGCTCAGTGTGCCCCCAACGAAGCTGAGAGTGATAAAGGGCGGCAAGCTGGCTAAGCCCAGAATAGCCCTATCTCGCCCTGTGCTTGACCCAGTCACTGCAACCAGAAGAGTCCCTGGTATTTTAAACGGCAGGCACCGGTCGCCGGCACTACGTACTTGCGAGCAGGGTCAACATCACCTTCGATTGATTTCATGCAGAATCCCGTCTCGTCTGCTTCCATGCGGCTCCTTATCTTGGCCGACAGACAATGAAGAACCGGCGACTATGAACAATGATTCCCCGTCGACTTCCGCAGCGCCAAATCGATATTCGACCGACGGTATAGCAGGCGGCGCCGGCCTTCATCATCACCAACAGGATGGAGATGTGCCAAGGAGCCCCGGGTCTCGCGACGGCCAGCGCAGAAGGCGGAAGAACCGAAAGAAGCGGAATCCGGGGCTTAAGAAGAAGCTCGCCTTTGTCACACATCTTCTCAAAGGGCTAGATACCGTCGTGCTTGCGGAGCTCAGTGCTTTGTATTATATGGAGTATGTTTGCCTGTATATGCCTACAAACGCCTCACTCCCAATCTCTTCTCTCACTGAGCAAATTCCCACGTTTACCCCAGAGGTATGCTGACATTATCGTATCAGATGCTCCTTATTCCGATTCCTCATCCGAGCTGCCGGCCAGTTCGTCTGCCTCTCCCCGAAAGATGAGGCATCCCCATTTCTCCTACCAGCCAGTCGGATCCACGTACTCCTGATTCTTGTACCCAATATATGGTGTATGCTTATGCATCTTTTCGGCGCATTGCCTAAGGGCCCAGACTACCATCGAGGATATCTTCACGGAGGCCTCATTTTCGACTTTATCGGCCAAAAACCTCCGCAATATCGGATATACTACTTCATGGCGGACTTGGCTATACTGTTCTTACAGTGTTTCATGCTCACAGTGCATTCGGAGCGGGAGAAGCTTCGTATAGCTTTGAAAACCTTTCGACCCATTTTCTCAGATCCAGTAACAACCGCTAGGGTTGCCCGAACTATCGAAGAGCTGGATGCTGAGGAGCAGGGTATGCAAGGTGTATACCCAGACGTGGAGAATGAGGTGGGAGATGTAGAATTACAGTCTCTTGGAAGGGGTAATGGAGAGACAAGCTTGGAACGGAGGAGCGACCTTGAACTATCAGGCCGTCCCAGTCATGAAGGATCCAGGTCCCATCTAGCAGATATACTCAACTCTGGGAATGCTGTGATTGGCGAATATCACATAGTGAACACC